CCCCCAGCCAGGGTCAACCCACCACATATACCTACTCTCATTTTCATGGTCCTTTATCTACTGTAGCTCCTCTGCCAATCCCCATCTTTGTCCAGTCTCCATCCCTGCTTATTTTCGCATCTTTCTCTTCTCCAAAATGCAATTTAACTTTCAGATTAGTGTTTCTGTTTTCAGCATCTAGTTCACTGTTCAGGTGCCTGGGCACTTAAATATCTGTCAAAATTGCTTGACTCAAGTTTCTCTGGACCAGTTTCAGTATTCAACAGTAGAAATATACTCAGTTAAAAAAAAATAAAAAGTTAGTGCCTTACTCCCAACTCCTTCCTCTTGTTTGTGTTGTGTGTGTGTGGTTTGTTTACCTATGCTTCTTGTTTGTCTGTTATTCCTTTCTGGCATCTTTTCATCTTCCCATCAATTCTTCCTTCCAGTTTGTTACATTTCTTTCATATTTTTTTTTTCACATTTTTTTGGGAACTTTGGAGGGCTTCCTCCTTCTCCTAGTTTTTCTCTTCAGTGAAAGAAAAAAATTCTTGATTTCCCTTTTTCTATATTAAAAAGGTAGAGCAAGAGCTCTTTTCAGTTGTATAAATAAATATTAACAATACTGAAGTAAGGAAAGCTAACTTCACAGTACAGCATTAAAGCCAGTGCTTTTCCTTGTGTTTAAATTCCCATTTTGAATAAAACCAGGATTTCAAGCAAAGATTTGCATAAGAAGTTCATTTCAAGAAATCACTGCTTTTCAGTTAAAACCTCATACTTTTCACTGTATCTCTGGTTTGAATCCGGGGTTGTTGTGGGGGTTTTTTTGGGGTTTTTTTTGGTTTTTTTCTTCTTCTGTTCCACACATTAATTACTATTTTTGGAAACAAATGGCTCCATAGCTCAAGGTAAACATTTTTTTTCTTGAAAAAAACCCCCAGTAAGAATAAGTTTGCTATATATAATTTCTGAAAACTGAAGGAAGGTAGTTAGAGGCACATGGCTGGCCTACTTATCCAGGAATGCCAAGTTCTCCTCTGTCTCAGTTGGGCTAAGGTTTAATTAATTGGAGATTTTTATTTTTTTCATTTGCAGTTGATGCAATGGAAGGTGAGGCTTTAGTTATAAAATGTCCACGATGGAGTTCATCTGTGAAAGTCACCTGGTATCACACAGATACTTACAAAATAATTCCAGCAGAAGAAGAAGGATCACGAATATTTTCCTTAAAACAATTTCTTTGGTTTCTGCCAACTTCTAGAGAAGATTCTGGAAACTACACTTGTGTTACACTTTTGTAAGTGCAACATTGAAAAGTGAAAGGCATAAGACTGGAAAAAAATACAGTCTAATTATTATCTGTGGAAATGATGCCTTTTTTTATGGTGTGCACTAATTCATGTGACTTTTCATTCTGCAATTGCTATTTTTTATGACAGGTGGTTAAAAATCAATCTGTGACTGAACTAAAATAACCATCCATATGTTTATAAAAAAAACCCTCACATTTGTTGCAAATATTTAGTATATTCCATATAAAAATACTATCACTGACATACCTTTATTCCATTTTTAAAGTTCAAATAATCGCACAAAGTCATTCAACATGAGTGTGCAAGTGCATCCACACAAGCAAGGAGTATGTTTCCCAAGTCAGATTCGTTACCCAAATGACACTGGAAGAGGAAAAATTGTTTGTCCTACAATTGACAATTATAAGAATGCTACTATCATCCAGTGGTATAAGGTAAATAAAACCCTGATAGTGCCAGCTGTAGATCAGATTACCGTGAGAAGCTGTTTGCAGCCAAATAAATAAAGTTTTCTTTTCCAGGACTGCAAACCTCTTCAGGAAGAGAGATACTACAAGAGAGAAAAATATATTTTTATTAACAACCCAATAAAGGAGGATGATGGCTATTATACTTGTCAATTTATTTACACTTATAAAGGAAATGTGTTTAACGTATCAGCAACAAGGATTTTCATAAGTAAGGGTAAGACAGTCATTTTGTAGCTTGCTAAGATAAAAAAGGCTGATGTCTACTTGAAGCAAAGGAAGCACCATTTGTACATTGAAGAGAATAAGAGTTTCTGTTGCTTTGATTTATCTTCTTAATGAAACTTAAGATCAGCTTTTTTAGATGAATTTTGCGGATGGGGATCCACATGGAGCAAGATAGAGGTAAATTCAGACCTGGTCACATTCAGCTTTTTGCTAAAAGTCTCTGATGACTTTGGTTACGTGATTGGTAGAGCTCTCTGGTAGCACTTATTTCTGAAGGGTTTCCTCAGTGGGATGCCCCAAATCTCTGCTTTCTCTTTGTTCGAGGGGAGAAGAGTTTGTAGCTAGTGAGGATCATCTGGTGATCATTGGATCACTGATGTGCTGATGGCGTGCAACTCAATACCTTCGGTCCGTCTTGATCGTCTAGCATTTATTTGATAGTAGGGCTGAAAAAACTTTCAGATTTGTCTTGAATGAGACAAAATGAGCGAGAGATAGAGGGAGACAGAAAATGAGTGGAGCTCAGTAATTGCTGTGTCTTTGTTATTTTGAATGCAGCCAACATGTCTGAAACGTGGACTTTGGGGTGCCTCTAGGATGCAATCTCCAATCTCCTCAGGGAAGCTTTGTATCTGGATGGTGGTCAGGGGATGAGCATGTGGCAATCAGCAGTTCCAGATTGTATCAACTTGCAAGACTTCAAAATGTGTCCTCAGTTCTGCAATCAGATCAGTAGAAAAACAATCAGAAGGGTTGTTGTGGGGTTGGGAACAGGGAGAACTTGGATTTGGTTTGATTTTTTTTATTTTTTTTTTAAATAACGTTCATCTGCAGACTGACATCAGACCTTTTTGCTGTGGGGAGGCATCCAGCTTTGTGGGCAGAATGCAGATTTGGAATGTAGGAGCCTTGATTCCAGTTTTTGCTGTTGAGCCCAGATCCCAGTAGCAGTTTGTTCTGATTATTCTGAGGTGGACAGAAGACAGATTTGAGCCGAGACCTAGTACAATAGCTTAGGAGGTGTCGTGCCTTTCCTCCCCCTCTTCCCTGTAATGCCCTGTTGATCTACATGACTAGTCTCTGCCTAACACTTAATTTTTGTTTGAATTTACTTTAATCAAAACTGCTCTAACTGGTCAGGAATATTCTTGCGTTTGGGCTATAATTAAAATCCCTGGGTTTTATTTTGCACAAAGCATCCAAATGTACAAAAGCCTTTGTTACATCCAGTGAGATTACTTCATTTTGAAGTTAATCTGATTTACTTTTGAAATCATTGCAGAAAGAAGGGTTTGCAACATAACATGAAATCTGAGCTGGGTGTGTCACGTCTGCTCCAGTTTTTACTAAATTCAAAGTATTTAATGACAACTTCTTTGAGTTTTTATCAGCCCTTAAAAGTAGTATGCTGATGAGTGGAGCTGTTACGTTTTGATAATATTTGCTTACGATGTACATCCCTGTTGCCTTGCAGATCCACACTGACCCAGAGGACCCGCTGCCTCTGAATGCTGACAGCTAAGAACTTAGCATAGTCAGCTAGCTAGGAAGTTACTGACTTTCTCTTGACTTCTTTTTTACTGGATCCAGCTAAGGAAAATTAGAAACAGTTAGGATGGGTAAAGATCCTAATGCTTTTCTGGCAGCCTGGGAAGCAGGGGGTTAAATGAGTTCCTCTAGATTTTTTAGGGAAGTATGGTTATGGGTTTCGCAGAGCTGCCTTGAGACAGAAAAGCTTCATCAGGGAAAGGATAGCAAGCAATATTTTTGGACTGGGAAATATGAGACAGTATAAAGGGTAAGAGAAGAAGAAAAAATATATCAAGGGAAAAAAATCTCAAAGAGCTGAATACCTAATTGAAGTCAAGCAGCTGGATGTAGTTTGGACCTGTCCATAACAATCGTTAGTGGGGACAGAAAATAAATATGTCAAAGGAAAAGCAGTATTCCTTCTAAAAGGTAGTGATAAGGGATGCTCAATGTCATGGCAGGCTGGTGCAATGGGAAGGAGTTGTGCGGAGAGGCAGGCCGGGGAACCAGATGTGCTCGGCTGTCAGGCTGCAGAGACCGGGGAAAGAGGGAAAGACAGGCAGGCAGCTGTGGGCTAGAGGGTCCCCAGTTCAGATACTGCATGAAAGTACATATTTGCTATTTCATATCATGGATATTAGTAATTTCTCAAATGTCTGAAGGAATTTATTTATCTCTTTTTAAAAACAAAATAAGCAACTGAGAAAATACACAAAGCTATTACTGCGTTTGCTTTTTCTTCCCACTCAGCATAGTGGAAAACAGTACTTGCAAAACTAAAGAATTGCCTTACTCTTTATGTACAAAGGTAAAAATTAAATAAATGGGGAGAAAATACTTGAACTATTAACATGTACAGACTCCCCAGGAATATTTGGTCATAGGAATAAAATCAGATGATCCCTACAGACATGTGAAACACAGGTAGTGTTAGTTTGCAATTCTGCTTTGGGATCTTAAGATATTAACTGTACAGATTATAATAATTATCTTACAAAATGTTTTTTCACAACTTTCTAATATGTGCTTTCTTTCCCTCCTTAATTTCTAAAGCAAAACACTCCCCTCTACCTCCTCAAATTTTGTTTCCAAAAGATAAAGATGTAATAGAAGTGGAGCTCGGTAAGTACGGACTTTAAATTGTTTTTAAATTAACATTTTGTGATGGCCTAGTGAGCATGGGAATCTTCAGGAAGATTTAATGATGGAATTTTTCATTACATTTTTGCACAATAATGTTTACCAGATTTAATTCTCCCCACGCACATTGATGTGATGTTAGATATAACTGATGGGTTATTTAGGTATTAAGCAGCAAGTTAAGGAGTTTTAAATAACCCATTCTACCCTTATTGGGATAGACTGGGATTACTCAGTCAATTATTACATCTCAGCTGAAGGGGTGACAGTTTCTGTCCACTTCAAAGAGGGCTTAGCTAAATCCCTTGAAAGTGCTTGATGGTAGCCCTAAGAGAGAAGGATGGACTATTCTTGCAACTAGAGACACTCCTTATTACCTGTGGTCCCAGTCTGGAGACTGCAGCTGTGTCTCTGTTGAAGAATGAAGGAGAGGAGGGGCTGGTCACTGGCCCTGAGGCCGTGGAGCACTGCCTGGCTCATGTCCACGTTGGCTAGCATTGAGCAGACCTGTCTGGTTGGAAGATACTGAGAAGGCTGAAAGACAGGACCAAGGAGTGAACTTAGAAATAGCAGGTTGGAGAGCCTGTGATGCAGAGCTTGCTCCCTGGCCCCCTTTCTTTTAGGACCACAGATGTTCCTAGTGATTCAGATTTACCCTGTGTAACTTGCAGCATCAGAGAAAGGTGCTTGTGGTAGGAGCGAGAGCTGTCTGGGGTTTTTGTGTAGTCAACTGAGAAAGGTGGACCTCTCCAGAAAGTGACTGAGCCCACCTGAAACATAACTAGGTAGCCCAGGATACCTGTCTCCCAGGGCAGGTGGGATGACTCTGGGCCGCTGGGAGAAGGGACTGTGAGTACCACTCCACTGTTTGTGTCCTACAGCAAG